TGTTGTGACCTAGCAGACTACTACACGTGCGGTGTGGACCAACCAAACGACGGCATACAACAGCAGTAGACTGCTGTGTGACTACATGTAATGTACAGCAGTATAGCGTACAACGGCTAGCACGTACAACGACGCATCATAGGCACACACATTCACAGGTACTAAATCTGCTGGTCTGGTGCACACGTTTGTATCTTACAGAGCTGTGTGTGTGCTTCCGTTAGGAACCGCAGAGCAGCGTCGATCTACCCTCTCCTCCACCCATGGGCATCAACAGGTACAACCACACAACATAGGCGCACACGTTACAGAAGGCATTTCGTCATCACACCACCAGTTAGTTGCTGCACGCATCTCTTTCTGTCTTTCTTTGTGCTTGAACTCATCTTCCTCCTGGGGCACGGAACAGCTGCATACCCTGTATCTACAAATTTTTAAACCAGGGGGGGGGGGGGGTCGCGACACCTCCGGACATATATTATATCTCGTTCCGGCCTCACTTCTTTGTGCCCTGGGCTGCGGGAGGCGCGTCCCCGGAAAACCAAAACGCCAAACTATTTAAATACTTCACACCACACAGCAGGCTCAGCACTTGCATATAGAAGCACAGCAGGCAACCCATCTGTTGCTGCTGGGCTGCATGTCTGCTACTGTAGCCAACGGGTTGCTATGCCATGAGCTATACAGCAGTACCACGGGGTTGCCCGCGCAGCAACCACTGTATAACGTTCGTCGCAGCTCTCTACTGCTACTGTGCTTCTTCTCGGTTACGAACCGCAGTAGAGCAGCGTCGATGTACAACCCTCTCCTCCAAGCGTGTGCATCAACAGGTACAACCACACATCATGCGCGCACGCGTAACATACTGAGTCGTCATCACAGCAGTTGCTGCACGTCTCTCTTGGCTCGTACTCTTTGCTCTACTGCTGTATCTCTGTCTCGTGCTCGAATTCAACACGCTGTGACTCTCAAACTAACTGCTGCTGCTGTGTGTGGGGCACGGGACAACTGCAACCCCCTAATTACATAATGTATGCGTACAGGGGGGGGGGGGGGGGGGGGGGGGGGGGACTCTTTTGGTTTTGGGGGCTTAAGGGGTAAACCTTTTGCCCCCCCCCCCCCAAAGAAAGGGAAATTTTTCCCCAGGGACCAAAACCCAAGGGGCAAACGTTCCTCCCCAATTTGCCAAAGGGGGGTCAAAAAAGGTTTCCCAGATTGGTTTATCCCACCGGGGGCATTTCCCCCCTTTTTAAAACCCTTCTACCCCCCCCATACCCGCTCCGCCCCCCCCCCCTAATTCA